ACTATCTCTCCTCCTCTTCCTCTCTCTTCTACCCTCCACTCCTTTCCTTTCCTTCGTCCCTCCATTCTCTACTTCCTTCCTTCCCTTCCTTCTTCCCTTCCTTTCTTTTTCTATTGTTATAGGTGTCTCTTTCAGATCCCGGTTCATGTTTTCTTGGGGATGGTATTTCCACACACCCAACTTCGTTTCATATCCCTTCCTTTTTTCTTTAGGATTCTACAGTCTGTCTTCCAGCTGATTTGAATTCACAAATCTTGACCCTAATCTTTACTTGGTTGTCATTCTCTCTTCTCCTCTTCTTCCAAAGGTTTTTCTCAACCATCGGCACCCGAATCAGTTTCCTGGCCACCCGAAGGTCTCCCCAGGCTCCGAGCCACCCAGAGTGCCACACGGCCGGCTCACCCCCAAACCTCCGCCCGGCATCTCTGGCTGGACAAGAGGTCCCAACCACCCGTCCTCCAGTCCTTGGCACCCACCAGGCAGAAAGCTGGAAGCGACGTTAACCATGAGTGATTTTTGGCACAAGCTGGGCTGCTGCGTGGTGGAGAAAGCGCAGCCGGTGAGTTCTGCTTCCGGCCACTGTTGGCTTCCAGGGATGGGGCACGGAGGTGCCAGCTGGGGTTGGCGAGGTCTTCCCTTCCTCCCCTCACTGAATGTCCCCATGTTCCATCTTCCGCAGCAGCAGCGGAAAAGACGGCGGATCGACCGAAGCATGATAGGCGAGCCCATGAATTTCGTCCACCTCACGCACATTGGCTCTGGGGACATGGTGAACGAGGGCCTCCCCGCCGTGGTACGGATTTTGGTCCCCTCGGCTTCCGGGGATGTTGCTGCGGCCTTCCAGATGAGAACAGGGAGAGAGGGGGGGGTCCCTATTACACCCCGGGAGGCATATTTATAACCCCAGAGTTCAGACATGCTCCGAGCTCCCTTTGCCAAAAGGCCAGCTTTAATTGGCGCCCAAAATATTGGCGGTCGGATATTCTCCCCTTGCGGAATTTACTTTCCAATGAGCCGGGGGGCTCTTTCGGAGCTGTACACCTGGGAGAGTACCGTACAGGTAGTCCTCGTCTTACGACCACAGTTGCTTTTGCTACTTCACTGGTGAAGTGAATTTTGCTTTTTCCTTTTGCAATTTTCCTCGCCACGGCTGTTAAGCGAATCAACACGGTTTTGTTAAATGAGCCACAGGGTCGTTCAGTGAATCTGGCTTCCCCCGTTGACCTGGCTTGTCGGAAGGCTGCAAAAGGGGATCACGGGGGAACCCCCCACACACACACACAGCCCCGGGGGATGCTGCAACCGTCATAAATACGAGTCAGCAGCGGCCAAGCAATTGAGGGCCGTGGGGGATGGTGCCAATGTGAAAAGCCCTCCTAAGTCGCTTCTTTCAGCGCCCGTGGTTGACTTAGAACGGCCACCAAATGAACCGCCGTAAGTCAAGGACTACATGTAATCAGAAATGCCCCGAAGGTAGAAAGCTAGCTGCTGAGATGGAAATGTTTTTTTTCTCCCCCTGAAGTGCTAGATTTCTAAGTGCAGGGAGGCCGGTTTCAAAGCTGTGAGGGCATGGTAGAGATTGAGGAAGGGTCTTCATTCTCTCTCGCTTTTCTCTCCCCTCTTTTCTGCAGTCAGGAGCCGTCCAGGAAATGCGGTCCAAATGCGGGCGAGAAAGACCTTGGAGCAATTCCCACATTTTATAACCTTGTGCCGCTCCTCCTTTTC